AATTATATTCGTATAATATTGATTTAATATACTAAAAAAATAATTTTAATTTGTTAAAAACTAAAAGATAATATCAGCAAGATAGGAGGGTTCGAAACCTACTAGCAACAAATTTTAAATATTCTACTTGTATAATAGCTACTGTTTTTCATTGATTGGTTGGAACAGGATCTTTGTAACTTTGGTAGTATTAACAAGATTGGAAGATTATAGGGTATTTGTACAATATATAAGTTATACAAAGATATGCAAGCCAGCTTTGAGCAGTACAAACCCAAGATAAGTCCTTATAATCATATAAATTCAAGGAACCAGAAAAACAAATACTGCTTGGCAAAATCTGAATAGAGAGATAGCACAAACTTCTAATTATAACTACTAAAGCAGCTTCACTGAAGCTAGTTAACTGGACGAGACAAGAGTATTAGCAAGTTACTTCACCAACCAAGCCGCTAGAGCAAAGCAACTAGCTTCAGAAAAAAAGGTTTGATTTGTTAGGTAATCAAGACCATGGGACTAAAGTGTTCTTTCTGAACTATTTGAATTAGAAGTCTGGAGAAAACAGGCTAGAAAATATAGAAGAGTATGGTTCTAAATATTGAGAAGTCTTGATGGAAAAGTACTAGGATTTTGGTAAACTTTACAAGAGCAAAAGACCAAAGACTAGATTAATCAAATTGTGAGTACAAAAAACTCTAGCAGGTTTACCCCGAGAATAAAATTGTTCTAAGATCGTAACGAATATTAGTTTAAAGTTATATATATAGAAATATATATATAGTTGATGTGGGACTGATACTATAAAAGTAATCTGTTAAATATAAATAAAAGTACTAACCAAAAGGGTCACTTTAATATAAAAAAAAAAATTTAAATTAAAATAGTCTGTAAAAGCAAATTGTAATAATATTTTATTTATTAATACTAATTTACTTATGATCTATTTATTTCTTATTTAATTTTTTTTTATTTATATTTATTTGAACTATATATTTATTTGAACTACAAGTTAATAGTCATTTATTAAATATTATAACAATTTATAATTAATTGATAATCTGCCAGTCAATCAGAGAATTTTCCTTATTAAGATGTAATGCAGATCACTTATAACATAAGTTGAATTAAAATTTTTAGCTTATAAGCAAAGTAATAAAATTTTTTAAGCAAATATAGTATTAAAGTAATACAAACGATAGAATAATACCGTAAGCTTTTAATTAGAAGACTATTAAATATTACTCTTTTTTTTTGAAAGACTTCATTTAGTAAACACATAGCATTTATTAAATAAAACTCTAAATTAATTAGTTATCATAGGAATTTATAATACATTGTTTTTAGCTTATTTTACAACAAATTTAGTTTTTTTTTTTTTTTTTTTAGATTTTTAGACAGCAAGAGACAGATTCAATAGATTGTTTACTATTCTATATTGTAATAGTACATAGATTTTAATATATACGATCTGAGTATACAATAGTTCATATTACAAAACAATTTTTTTTATAATTGTTATTCTAGTACTTTCTAGATGTGTTTGTTTTTTAAAACTAGAAAAACAATATGTAATACAAAAGCAATACACTGACTTCTTTGAATATTTGAATATAATCTTGGATCTGAAAATGATCTTGTTAGATTTGGGTGATAGCTTTGGATCAATAGGTAAAAAAGTATTATTAGCAAAAGCATTTCGCAAGAAACTATACTAACTTGTTTGGATTAGCCTTGAAAAAGTGTTTTTGTATTTTAGGTCCAGGATCGGTATTTTGTTCTGATATCAATAGACTGGATTGAATATATACAAATTGCAATTGGGTATAGTACATCTAATGTAGGGATTCGAATTTATCATAAGGTACTGCATTTAGTAACTAGGCTATACAGTAAAACTTCTATAAGTATATGCATTTGGAACTAAGCTTTAACAGCATGCACTTAGAAAACTATAAGAAAAAGTACGCTTATGAAGATCATATATATAGTGAAACTTCTATAAGTGCACCCTCTATAAGTGCACATTCTACCTTCATAAGTGTACTTTTTTTTATAGTTTTTTAAGTGCACGCTGTTAAAGCTTGGTCCTAAATGCGTGTATTTATAGATGTTTTATTGTATATCAAAACATGGTACTTAATCTGAAAGATAGCATGTGAAGAGAAGAGTACAATTCGAGAGAGATACAGAATTTCAAGCAATAGTTTATTTTTACTGAATATTACTAATCTCGCAAGCCTAATTTTTATCTGGGTATAAGTCAGAATTTTCGCATGATGATATTGAAATATACCTGATCCTAATCTAGAGGATATAATTCTAAAAGGTACTGAGTACAATGCTCTACAGCATGGAAATCCAATTATACATAAATATTTTTGGTAATTCTAGTGTTATTGATATTTGAAAGGTTCCAATACTCATACATAGCTTTGCCTGGTTGAAACTATGGATTGAACTTTATAGCGTCTTTTGTTTAATCAGATGAGATACAATTATTGACGATAGAAATCAATGAGAAGATTATCACATTTAGTGTTTAAAATTGACTTGCACAAGATACACATGTGCAAGAGTTTTTTTTGGATTTTTTTAGATTTTTAAAAAATCTTTTAAGTGTGCAAGTAAAATTTTTAAAAAAAGTTGCACAAAATATATTTGTGCAAGTGATTTTTTTTTTAATTTTAAATACTGATTGTATTACTGTATCCAGTATTAGCAATTTTGGCTTCAAGTGGGAATTTTTAATCTTTCAGTAGAATTTTGTAATAGTAAAAATTCTAGTGATACTATTAAATTTACTTTCAGTAGTCTTATAGTAGTCTTTCAGTAGCTTTTAGTGCCAATACTAACTGTGTTAATCAATTAGAAAGCATTTTTCTTTATTAACACAAGCATTAGGAATTTATATATTTTAGGTCTTTATAAAATTTGATCCTTTGAGAGACTTTGAGTTTTACCTTGAACCTATACAGCCTAGCTACAAACAATCTGTAATATAGCATAAATTATTTGTTATAAGATATTTGTGATTTAATTTTATTAATATAAATGCATTTTTATTTTAAAAATTATTTTATTTAAATATTATACTACAAAAGCTAACAATAAACTAATTAATATCCAATATTCTATTCAAGATACAAAAAGACAAAGCAAGTAATGGTATTACACTTAATTATGCATTAGATTTGTAAAATATTACATGAGAAAATTTCTAAATTACCCAACTCAAGCTCATTGTCTGTTGCTTTTTGTTTAAAAGCATAAGCATATGAGCTTAACCAATTTTGTATTGTAGAAATTTTTAGAATATCTTCTTCTTCTATGTCTCTGCTCTCAACATATTTCAGAAGTTCATTACATATGTCCTGTGTATTTATTTTATCTTGACTTCTTCGATTTCTGTTCAAAAAAAAAATGTTCTAATATATATTTTATGTTTTTTTTGATTCTAGCACCACCTCTGTTGCCCAACTTTTGGTTGTCTTTTAGTGCCCATCTCTTAGACAACGAAAATTCTATATCTATCAAACTGATATATAAATTAGTAAGTGAACCAATTATAATATCTATTGGTTTTTTTTTATATCTATCTTGATAACGATATTATGATTAAAGGATCTGAAAAAATTTATTTAGGTATTAAATCAAATGTTAAAAGATACATATATATATTCAAATTTTTACTTACTATTTGCTTCAATATTGCTTTTGCTTTTATTGTTTTGCTCTATACTGATATTATCTTTTAGTTTTTAACAAATTAAAATTATTTTTTTAGTATATTAAATCAATATTATACGAATATAATT